AAGCATCTTTGTTGCCTTGGCCCAGTTCCATGGCATGCTATTTGATTAACTTTATCAGTCCGAGCTTGCCATGGAAAAGTGTTTGTTTCCCTTGTGACTGTTTCAGTCCATGGTTGCCGTTGAAAAGTAAGTTTGTTTCCTTATTTCTGTTTTATGTCCTCTCATCTGATTAATTATTTCAGTCCATGTTTGCCATGTTAAAGTAAGTTTGTTTCCTAATGTTAGTTTCATATCTTCTCATCTAATTAACTATTTCAGTCCGTGATTGCCATACAAAAATAAGTTAATTTCCCTTGTAATTATTTGAGTCCATCATTGCCATGGAAAACTATGTTTCTGTACTTCAATTACCTGTTTTCTCATCTGATTATCTTCAAGTCCTTACATCCTTTTCAGGACGTAATTTATTGTTATTTGAAGCCCCACTCTGGCTTTTGCCAGGGGCCGCAATATCGGCAGGCCATAAAAATGGCCAAATGTCTGAACGCGGTTTCTGGGACCTCTCCACAGTGATCCTCATCCACATGGTGGCACTTTGTGTCATCGGGTGTTTATCGCTTGTGTGATGTCCTAGTGGGGTAGAAAGTCACTCACTCACTTCTCATCTGATTAACTGTTGCAGTCAAGGACTGCCTTAGAAAAGTAAGTTTGTTTCCTTACCTCAGTCTCATGCCTTCCCATCTGATTAACTATTTCAGTCCATGATTGCCATGGTAAACTATTTTAATCTATCGTTTCCATGGGCCGTTGTTTACCTTGCAACTATTTTAGTCTATCATTGTTGACTTTCTACCCCACCAGGACATCACACAAGCGATAAATACCCAATGACACAAAGTGCCACCATGTGGATGAGGATCGCCATGGAGAGGTCCCAGAAACCGCGTTCAGACAATTGGCCATATTTATGGCCTGCCTATATTGCGGCCCCTGGCAAAAGCCAAGGTGGGGCTTCAAATAAAAAATTTCGTCCTGAAAAGGACGAAAGTGGATAATATATAACTCTATCATTGTTATGGACAGTTGTTACCCTTACAACTATTTCAGTCCATCATTGCCATGGACAGTTGTTTCCCTTGCAACTAAATTAGTCCATCATTGTTATAGACAGTTGTTTTCCTTGCAACTATTTCAGTCCATCATTGTTATGGACAGTTTTTTCCCTTGCAACTATTTCAGTCCATCACTGCCATGGACAGTTAAGTTTGTTTCCCTTGCAACAATTTTAGTTTATCATTGTTGTGGACAGTTGCCCTTACAACTATTTCAGTCCATCATTGCCATGGACAGTTTTTTCCCTTGCAACTAAATTAGTCCATCATTGTTAGAGACAGTTGTTTCCCTTACAACTATTTCAGTCCATCATTGCCATTTACAGTTGTTTCCCTTGCAACTAAATTAGTCCATCATTGTTAGAGACAGTTGTTTTCCTTACAACTATTTCAGTCAGGATAGCCATGGAAAAGTCAGTTTGTTTTCTTTATAACTCTTTCAGTCCATGCTTGCATAGAAAACTGTTTTATAGCCCCCGTTTTGTGGTTTGATATTTCATTAACTCTTTATTATTGTCATCAAAAATAAGTTTACTTCTGTTTTTCCCTGTGTGGGTTCCAGGGCACTATTTTAGGGAAAACTAGAATAGACCAACCGCCTACCCAAAAGCATGTTGTAAGAGTAGACTAATTGGGAGCTTCCTTCAAAGTCAGAGTGCATCTGCCTGAGAGGCAAGGAACCAGCAATCTGCATACAAATTAGTCATATCTGTCAAACGGATGCAAACGCAACACTCAGGTTCTGGAACAGGACTGCAGTCAAGAAGTGGATGAAGAACCAGAACTTTCCACCGGAGATTATAGCTGGTAAATGCGAAGAAGACGAAGAAGAAGAAGATCTCTGTTATAATTATTTTAAACAGAATTAGCGATACGAGCATCATCAATCTTGGAATTCTTCTACAAAGTGAAATAACCCAAAATGACAAATAGTGTGACTTTAACTTCTTTACTGCATTTTCTTGTGTTTGACACATTGTGCTGGGGTTTACAGTTAAGCTGTGATATCTGCGTCTTCGGCACAACACATCCAATTTCAGCAAGCACTTAATTAGAAGCTTTTATGACATGCTTGTTAAGAAACAATGGGCCTGACCCTCCCCCCCCCCCCACTCCCCAGAAACAATGCGCCTGATCTCTCCCCACCAGAAACAATGAGCAAGTTCGCACCCCCCCCCCCCCCCCCCCCACAGAAACAGTGGGCCTGTTCTCTCCCCCCACCAGAAACAATGGGCTTGTTCGCACCCCCCCCCCCTCTAGAAACAATGGGCCTGTTCTCCCCTGAATAAGTCCTATAGCGTGTATTTTGAGAAGTAAGGCCCATGGAGGCTGTTCAGGCACTTCTGGCACATGATTCTACTCCTTTACCTGCTTCCTGCTATGTTTTGGCTCCTATAACGCAACAGTCCTTTTCGCCATTGTTGCACACAGGTAACCACACACACACAAAGTTATGTAAAATTACGGAACACTTCAAACTCTCAAAAGCCATCACTGAAGAGCCCACATGTGCAAGAAATGTGAGAAGCATCTGATTGGCTGGTACGAAAACTTGCCAGTCTTTCTTAAGGCTTGTATTATATAGGGCTGACTGATTGGCTCATTCATCTTTTAGGTTATTTTGTGTCGAGCCAAAAAATCTGCCTTGTCGTCTCCACTGGGTTAAGCACATCCACCACCGCCAGTGAGCTTAAAAATACAAAAACATCAATGACTTGATACTTACGAACTGCCGTGCCTTTGACGCTTCACCCCTGCAGTACTTCTTCCTTATACACAGATGCCTGCGGTGCCTGAGTTACTCTCAACAACAACATACTCCACAAACAATCACTCATTCACAGAAAAGACAGTTGCGACAAAAAAGCTACCCAATATCATCTAGGACTCCATGTGTCAGCCACATCCACGAACCCGAGACAGTTTTTGGCACAGTGTGTATAGAAGGAAGGCATCTCATAACATCTCTAGAACATAGGACAGCCCGAGGGAATGAATCATGCAGGCAAAAGAGATATAATGAGAATCATTCAAATTTTGCACTCCAGTTTATTATTTATTATTTTATAACGATAATCACTAATAGAATTTACTTTCTTGGAGTAATAAGACTTGAACTTGCATGAAATGCTTTCCTATTTATGAAGTGATGAACAGCTTGCAGTGCTTCAATGTTGTGGTTTTCCTTGACCTTCCACAGAGCCAATGGTGACATGAAACACGATGCTTCAGATGATGAATCTGAGGAGGACAACATTGAAGGGGATTACACAGTATATGAATGTCCAGGCTTAGCTCCAGTAAGTAGATGATGCTTCTCAATGCTCTACTTTTTGCAGTTTCATTTTCCCCTGTTATGTCATACTTATGTCTTCATTTCAGTCTTGCCATTGTCCTTTGACGGTTTTTGTTTTGATTCGCACTTGTAATTATGTTTTCATGGATTCTCTATTTCACAGTCATTCAGTTGTCATGGTTTCTTTACTACTTCACATTTGTCATTATGTTATTGTAGTATATTTGTCATTATTCTTAATTCCATGCTGCTCTTTATACTTTCATCATTTTTTTTTCCCCTAAAGGGGGTGGGGGCTGAACTGTCTTGCTTGGGATGGGATGTCGTGTTTTCAGCTCAAAATATTTGTTCGATGTCCCATTTTCAGCTGAAAATGTTAGGGTCACTACAGTAAAGAGACATTACAAAATAAATTAAAGAATACCTTTTAAGGACATGAGTAATTTTAAGTCTACAGTGCCAGCCTAAGATTTGCACATCAAAGGGCCCTTTTTATGTGTGTGTCTTTTTTATGGTCATGCCTTATTCTGCGTGGCTAAGGCGTTGCGAGTCTGACTCGTAATCCAACGTACCGCGATCGAAACCTGCGTGGGCTGCGTGGATTTTTTTGGTGGTATGGGATGTCGCAGGTCGACCCAGCCTCAAATGGGTACCAGGATGGGCTGTCCTGGGAAAGTAAAGATGGCCGGCGTAATGCTGACCACATTACCCACCGAGTGCCGATTGGTCTGTAAAAATATGGGTGCACTTCCCATATGCCCGATGCGCCTAAGGGCGTGTGAAGGGATCTTTACTTTACTTTTACTTATTCTGACACAATAAAAGTAAAAAGTAAAGAAAATTTTCCACTTCTTCAGGCTTATTGGGCATATAGGGCGAGACCTGTATTATGATCAGTCGGCACATGGTGGGTGATGTGGTCAGATTCACGCCAGTTCTGAAACTATACACCAGAGCTATTCACTTGGCAGCCTGTGGGCTGAATCTGGCCTGCGGAACTCTAGCAAGTGGCCCAGGGATCGTTGCCAACTGTAGTGTGTTAATGATCTTTCTGTACTGGGGTCCAGCCTCTGACCCATGACAATTCCCATTTGCAATCTTTTGTTCGCCCAGGGAGTAAACTCATTTGTATAGCTCTGGTGTACACTAACTGTTTCCAGTCTTATCTCTCTCTAGCAGTTACCCCTGTCTGTCTGTCTGCCTGCCTATCTATAATATCCAACCTATTTGTCTTTTTGTCTTCTATCTGTCTATCTATACCCACCTAGCTGCCTGCCTGTTTACCTAAATGTCATCTGTCTGTCTGTCTGTCTGTCTGTCTGTCTGTCTGTCTGTCTGTCTGTCTGTCTGTCTGTCTGTCTGTCTGTCTGTCTGTCTGTCTGTCTGTCTGTCTGTCTGTCTGTCTGTCTGTCTGTCTGTCTGTCTGTCTGTCTGTCTGTCTGTCTGTCTGTCTGTCTGTCTGTCTGTCTGTCTGTCAGTAAAGTTTATCTTACTTGTGTTTTAACAGATTTGTTCTTGTTTGTCGACAGACTGGAGAGATGGAAGTCAGGAATCCACTTTTCCGTGGTGACGACACTCCGGTCACCCCAGGCGAGGATATCACAGGTCAGCCGCATGGTCAAGAGTCCGCAGATCAGCCAGTGAGCCAATGAGCAGGCAGAGCCCACCCTCCATGCTGTTTGCAGCATCTGTCCGAAATACCATGACTTTGGTTGTTGTAGCAAACAGAGTTACCTCTGTTCATTTATCTACAATATATTTTTAGAATATAGGGGAGTTGATTTTTTTTTAACATCACATGATTTGAAGAGCAATCATTTGATTTGCATCCAGTATTTAAAATAATTAAGCAAATTGCATGTAACTTTTGGCAGAATCTAAGCAACAATTACAAAATTAATAGAGTTATTATATATATATTATAGTCAGGATAATTGATGTTAACCCCTACAACCAACTCCCATTTAACAAACTAAAAAAGTTAACTGATAGTTTGTTGTGTTTGTGTCAATGTGTAGTTATTGTTCTGTGCTATTGTCTGTGGATACAAACACATTTTTTGTCAATGTTTTGTTTTTTGTTTAAAGGATATAAATCTCTTGGGAAGCACAGACTGTAAATTATTGTTTTCATGTTTTATACAATTATAAAAATAAGCTCTAAAATTTAAATTAGACTTTTGTTATCCTTTTCACAAAAATCTGGATACTGTGGTTGATGTTATCCGTATTAGTGTAAACAGCAATAATAACATATACCGTGGTACCTCCGCTAATGAAGATCGTTTGTTCCAAACTCACATTCATTAGGCAAAATCTTCATTATCCAAAATGTGATTGGTGCAAAAATTCAGCTCACAATGCAGTCATGTGTTAGTGTAGGCATCCACTAAAATATTCATTAGCCAGATCCAAATTAATGAGCTAAGGCCCACACACACACACACATATATAAAATAAATTTATAGCTGACAAATTAATTAGCCGGGTCACTCGTTAGCCGAGGTATCAATGTAATACTTATAAATGAAGTATTGTAAGGTTTTTGTCTGGTTTTGGGCATTTTTTCTTTCTGAACTGTCTGTACTTAACCTGTAGATATTGTTGTTTTCTCATTTGTAGAATTCTGGTTTTTGATTTTGTTTCAAGTGCTTGTCTGGAAGGATTTTCAATGTTTGGAATCTACTTGCAGAGTTCTAATAGCACATGTTTTTATTTTCTTCCCCTTTTGAACCCTTTTTAGTTTCGACACTTTCCTTTTTGCTTAGATATTTCCTGATCCAGGCATAATTATTTGAAACTCTAAAATTAACATCAGCATATTTATTAAATGAAATAAAATTAGGCTAGTCTGAAGAAACCTTTTATTACAGGTAATATTGGCATGACTTTAAAACATGAAAAAGCACAATTAAAAATAGGTGTTTCTATGATTAGAAAAAAAAAAGTTTATGATCTGAATGAATTATTTAAGGTTCACAAACTATAAATATAATTACCAGTTTTATTTTGGTTCATTTTTTGGGGGGATTTGATTTCTTTTTCATGACAGCATCTTGAAAACGTATTTATTTCAGAATGTTATTAAATAGATTGAGTCATGCAGACTGGATCAGCTGTTGCTGTTAATCTGGCTTCTGTTTTGATTCTTGGCTTGTTCTTAGTACTTACAAAATATCTGGTCATGCAGTGCAGTGCAAAAAATATGTTTGTTCAACATTATTAGTATTTTCCCTGGCTTTGACACTATTCCCCAGATCTTTTAACATTTTCTTGGTATTTTAATATTGTTCCCTTGTTTTTTTTTTTTTTTTTTTTTTGTTTTTTTTTTTAATAATTACCCATTTTTAAATTTGTTTTTAATAGCAATGAAATTGTGTAATTTGTGTTCAGTTACTGATTACCATATATTCTTTATAATTAATTTAGCAACGGGAGGTGATCAGTAACAATAAAGTTATAAAAAAAAATAATGCCCCTTGATTTTAAAAGAAAGTAACAAGTTTCATACACTGGGCATGGAGTTGCAAATGTTTGTTCTACACAACTTCAGTTTCTAGTTGTCTGAACATTACAAATGAGATGTTAATGTTTGTTCTTGAGAAGGGTTTCAAATATTAAGCTTTCTAATGCAATTTCTTCTTTTTGAATTCCTAATGTTCACTCCGACAGTTGATTTCTTATTACAAACTCAACTATATATTTCCGTACAGCCTACAGTATGGTGTTGAAACATTAGACCAGTATTCTCATCTTAGCAGGCTGTGAGGAGATATTCTTCTTCTTCTTCTGTATTCATCCCAAGATGTAATTGCATTGTGTCTGTTTACATCATGGCTGCTATATTTGCACCTTTCGGCTAACACATCCGACTTCTGCGGGCATTTGTTAATCGAGTTAGCCTTCCCGGTTGTGAGGAAATATGAAGGAGAATATAGAAGTTTGAAAACAGATAGTTAGTCAAAAAATTATCCGCATTGCACATAAGTTCTCTGATCCCCTCCTCATTAGTCAATCATGCAAAAACGTAGAAGCTGACAACACCAGTTCATTGTTGGTTTCTTAAAATTTGGCAACATGCATAGAGCTTCTTTATGGCCACAACTCCTTTAACTTGCTGTTCTTGTAGTCTGGTCAGGGTTGCAAATTCAGTCACTTGGTTCTCGCATATGTCTGACTTCTCATAGAGCTTTCAGTATATCAGCCATGGTTTGTCAACCCTTTACCTGCAAGCCTATCAGTTGGCTATTTCCATGCACATTGTGTGCCCTGGCAAGTAAATAAAACTGATTTTTGTCAGCTCCAAATTATGTTTGAACTAAAATTTAAGAGCCTATATACCAGGCTGTGCATTACATTCTGACATAGATACCATTTAGTGATTCCAGTGTTTTATAAGAACTGAGCTAGACTGGCTACTGTTATGAGTTGACAGGAGGGGGAGGAGATTAGCAATGAATCAGAAAGAGCAAGCAACAGAGAAATGACCAGAATCACACTGTGTTTTAGACCAAACTATTCTGACAACACAAGAATAGACACTAGGAACTCTCCTGTAAGAAAGCAACAAAGCAACAGGCAGCTAGCTAGCTACAAGGTCTGCAACATAGGAAAGAATTAACCAAAAAGAATCAGAAGAGACTCTGGGATTTCCTCAAGTGTTACCAGTCAATACTAAGAAAGCACATTGAACAAGGTGTAACCTTTATTTTCATGAATATTGAAATTTGAATATAATGAGTGGACTGCAGCAGTTAGTGGAAGATTGACCGTGTCCAGTTAAGGGTTGAGAACAGATACATCAACTGATGTTTTTTTTACATTCCAGTTTGCTAAATGGCGTTAATTAATCCATCTCTTTTGTCACCTTCAAGCTGTGATGTTCAGTAATCACTATCGTGGTCAGTTTTATTTAAGTCTCAAGTCATTACTGTTTGCTCATTTTTTATTTTTTAAATAAGTCACTGAACAATGGCTGCTGTTGTGACATTCCATGATCATTATATTTTTATTTATTTATTTGTGTGGTGGGTTTTGGAACAATCAAATTTTGTTTTAATTTGCTCCTGATTAATTTGTTTTCTGCAGCAAAATTCTGGTTGTGATTATTTAGTTACTGTTATTAAATATTATCTCAACTATTTTATTGGAACTTAAGTGAGTTTGTTTTACATTCCATGTTGGGTTTTCCCTTAAATTTCTGAATAAAGCTAAACTTTACACCCAAGTTTCACGGGCAGAAAATTAAGACACTTCAACCAGCAGTTCCAAAGTGATATAAGCCCGATGTGATATAAGATGACCAATGAAACATTGATTAGTTAATTGACTGATCATCCTCATTGTACAAGTCCATAAGCACTCGGACCCCATCTTTAGTATCACCCTCAGCAAGTGATGACTGATAACTCCAGTTCTGGGTTGTTTTACTATTCTTCTTCGGATTCTTGTATAGGGTTGATGTCTCACAAACTCTTTTGTAATAAAGTTCTTCTAGTGTGGTCAAGATTGCTACTTTATCGTTGTCTTCTGAATCATCTGCTTCCTGTCAGATGTGATATTTACATTAATGCAGCCATGTTTGGCATTATGGTGTTGAGTTATTTTGGTTTCAATTGCCAAATCATTTATTTCTTTATTTGTGATCAGTTCAAAAATTACTTACAAATTTCATATAGTTGTTATTACTGTCCTCTCCCCGTTTCCCTTTTCCACCTCTACTAAAAAAAAAAAAACTGTGATTATCTGATTTTAGAGTGACTGTGATTATTATAAATTATTATACCTTAAATTATGACTAATGTATAACTGAGTTTTCCTTTTTAATAGCTGTGATGTTGAAATACATAATTAAGTTAACAATTTAGACTGGTTGCTTTTAAAATTGTATAAATTATGATTTTTGTATCCAGTAATAGTTGTCTAGTCATTTACTGGTAAAATCTCAGTGGATTTATAATTGTAAAAGAAAACAAACTTGACTTTATCCTTTACATAATTCTAGTCATTTGCTTGTAAAATCTCATTGGATTTATAATTGTAAAAGAAAAAAACCTATCTTTATCCTTTACATAATTCTAGTCAGTTGCTTGTAAAATCTCATTGGATTTATAATTGTGAAAGAAAAGAAACCTTGTCTTTACCCTTTACATAATTCTAGTGATCTGCTTAAAAAATCTCATTGGATTGAAAATATTGAAAACAAAAACATGTATTTCTTTATTATCAACAGGATTCTAGATGTGTGCTTGTAAAATCTGATCTGATTTATAATTTTGAAAACAAAACACAATATTTATTTATCAGTTACTTGGTTCTAGACAGGAGATTGCAAAAGCTGAGGGGATTTATAATTTTAAAAACAAAACAAAGTATTTATGTATTTAATTATAACTTTCTAGTTCAGGTGATTACAAAATTGCTATGGATTGGTAGTTTTTAAAATGAAACAAATAATTTCTCTGTCCAGTTAAAGCAAAATAGTGAGTTGCTTGCAGAGCTAATTAACTGTTGCACTACGTGTATAACAGAAGTCTGACCAGATTTTAGTTTAGGCAGGTATCACATTTACAATGCAAGGATACCTTGATGAGTGGTCTGGTCTCTTACAGTAGTGTAAGAGGAGAATCTCAACACCAGTGCACAAGCTTCTT